ACTACTGCTGCTGCTGCTGCTGCTGCTGTTGCTACTGCTATGACGCACGCAAGCACTCACTCACTCACTCACACTTGCACGTACGCGCACATACAGGCACACACTCACGCACGCCCGAACGCATGTCGGCACGCATGCACGCACGCACGCACATACAAACTCAAATACCCCCCACACACACGCGCGCGCGCGCACATGACGCACGCATGCACACACGCACACGCGAATACACGCACGCGCACGTGCGTTTAAAGAAAGCATAGGGGACGCGCGCATACACACACTATTAGCAGATCATTGCAGCTGATTTTTTAGTCGTAAACACAGAAGATGTTTACTTGCTTGATAAGAATAGTCAGCAGGTGAGGCTACGTGACCAAGTCGGGGTCGTGGGATGGCAAATAGACATAGTTCATCAGGTGAGTCAACGTGAAATGACAGGTGCGATATCGCTATCATAAGCAATGGCTGGATTTATTAGATCACGCGAACTCAACTCATAAGAAATTTGGCGAGTAGTAAAATCCACATAGTGACTCGGTGATATAGAGCCTTCATATAGTATGAGAGATCGCAGTAACGCCATTTAAGGGAGGGGTTATTCAGAGAGAGAGAGAGAGAGAGAGAGAGAGAGAGAGAGAGTAGACAATAACAGAGAGTAAGATCAAGACAGAAAGAGGAAGAGAGAGATGTGTGAAAGAAAACGGGAGAGAGAGAGAGGGGGAGCGAGAGAGAGAGAGAGAGAGAAAGAGAGGGCAAGAGACAGGATGAGAGGAAGAAAGGAGGGGACAATATGAAACGGGAATAAATGTACTGATGCTATAATATATACTGTTGCTGCTGCTACTGCTACTTTTGCTACTGCTGCTGCTGCTGCTGCTGCTGCTGCTACAGCTGCTGCTACTGCTGCTGCTGCTGCTGCTACTGCTGCTGTTGTTGCTGCTGCTTCTGCTGCTGCTACTACTACTACTACTACTACTACTACTACTGCTGCTACTGTTGCTACTGCTACTGCTGCTACTGCTGCTGCTGCTGCTGCTACTGCTACTACTGCTGTTGCTACTGATGCTGCTACTGCTGCTACTGCTGCTACTGCTGATGTTGCTACTGTTGCTGCTCTTTCTGCTCTTGCTGCTACTGCTGCGGCTATTACTGCTACCGTCGCTGCTGCTACTGCTGCTGTTGCTACTGTTATTGCTGCTGCTGCTACTGCTGCTACTACTGCTGCTACTACTGCTGCTGCTACAGCTACTGCTGCTACTGCTACAGCTACTGCTGCTACTGCTACAGCTGCTGCTGCTACTGCTGCTTCAGTTGCTGCTACTGCTACTGCTACTGCTGTTTATGCTACTGCTGCTGTTGCTACTGTGACTGCTGCTGCTGCTGCTACTGTGACTGCTGCTGCTGCTGCTACTGCTGCTGTTGCTACTGTTGCTTCTACTGCTGC